CACAAGTTCTTATTATTTATTTATATTTTCAACATGGGTTATAAAATAGTTTTCTGCATTATGACTAAAAGTTAACGTGTACTATAAAACTTAGCATTGGTACTGGTACTGCCAGTGATCCTTTTTCTTATTTAAAAATAAACTTATCTTGCATGCTTGTACTGTTTTTATAATAGCAACTACACTTGCAGCTATCTCATTGTATAAAACATCTGCCCATGGGATGATTTAACAATTTTTAACCCCTACCATGAAAGGGTTGAATAGGTAGCTTAGCTTCATGGCTTTATTACGCTTTGGTTGAAAATTGTGTATACTTCTATTTTTTACTTCATTAATAGTAACAATTAATGGTATCCTGATGGCATGATTTGTATACACATTTTTGGAGCATGTCAAACCTAAAATTCCATTTACTAATTGATTGAAAGATGAGATATAGCAGTGTTGAACAATTATTTTATCAGCTTGACTGACCTTTTTCAACAGATTTTTTGTCAGAACATGTCAAACGTATATCGTTTAGTTCTTAGTCGGTCCCTTATTGTAGTAGCTAATTGTTTCTGTGATTTTGAATGTTAATAGGCATCGGTAGATCCTCTAAACAACTTATTATTCTCAAATCTCCCTTGATCCATCCACAACCCTTTCTTTGGTACATGAAGTATTTGAACTCAATACACATGTTGGTGAAAGGCAAATTCCTCTCCCACGTCAGAAGAAAAATCGCCAAATTTTGTCATTTCCACGAGATGAAGTCATTGCTTTCCTTGACAAATGTGTTTCGGTCTCGCCACCACGATTGCCACCTACTGTCAACGATAACTCGTACTACATGTAGCATTTACCATAAGATATCATTATGTATCAGTTTACGTTTAGAGAGAAATGCTGGTATTGTTCACAAGCATTTACATGACAGGTGCTGAATAGTTCACTTATGTTTCAAGAGCATTATTGCGCTTGCTTCCTATAATATAGTAATGATGTACATTTATAAAGACGATTGCTGCTCTAAAAAAAGCTAGAAAAACCCTTAAACTAAGACATCACAAAATAGCAAATATGCTGAAAGAGTTAATATCTGAGAAGGGTGTTAAAGGAGACAGTGACGGCCAACATGAATGAGAGTCTGTCATTTAGGAGAAAAGATTATATATTAAATTTCTGCCTGTTACTGAATTTTGTTGGAACAAGTATTTATACGATACATCTGTTGTAAATTGAGATTTAATTTAATTGTAAGTGGCAGCAATGAATGTAAAAGAATAATCTGGAATGCTTGGCATCCTGTTTTTCTTTGTTTGTGTCTTAACCTCTTCAGTGTAACCTAAGGCATATCAAATAATGAAACAATCTGGAAATGAACTACCAATTAGGAGAACATTAAATGATTACTCACACTTGATTTTTGCCACACCAGGGTCAAAAATTGATGAACTTAATGAGTGGCAAACATAAAAATTGATATCGTTATTTATAATTTCATTCAAAGTTAAAATAGATTTATGCATGTACAAGTCTGTAAGGTATACTTATGGTATGTTTATCATTTAATTTTATTATTACTTATTATTATCATTATCATTTTGGCCGTTATGGTTTCAATCATGAAAGAGAATAAATATATATATTATTATTGTTATTGTCATTGTCATTATCATTATTATTATCATTATTAATATTCATTATTATTTTCACATAACACATTTGGACTTCATATCGCAGTTCATTACTGACATCAGACATGTCCACGATCCTTTAAATCCAGTGGCTGATGCATTATGTTGCATTTAACTTAATTAGCTGTCATCATCAGACACACCCTCAGTAATTAATTCTGAGGACATGGCTCTAGCTCAATGAGATTTCAGTCTCTTTCTGAGGAAACTCCTACACTCTCTTCATTTGGACCAATTTCCTATTCCTCATTC